ACACATAGGTGCGAATCAACAAGTGATTACAAATCTGCCCTCCACGTCTGCTAAACATTTCTAAACAAAGTTATAGTTTCCTCTTTGCGAAAAGTGGTTTGCACGATGTGTTATTTATTGCTCAATTGTTTAAATTTTGCTAAACAGCAGCGTATAACTCATTTTTGGACTAAACTAGGCCTTGCAATAAAATGAGCACTTGTTTCGTCTTCTGTTCTGAGTTTTCGAACAAGTCAGCGGCAGACTTTTCTTTCGTTTAGCGGATGCAGAAAGCATTTGACTCAGCTTTTGAAGCGCATTAGTAGCATGTTTACTTTGAATGGGCAAGGTGACTCAGCATTCTTTCTTTATTGTTGGTGGCGGCACTTTTCCTGGTAGCCCAAAATTAGAAAAAGCACTAATTTGGGTGAAAGTGAGATAAATTATTTTAGGTCTTTTTTCTTACAATGAATGCTGAAGAAAGACTATGGAAAATTTCAAACATAGAAAAAAGGCTTCTCTAGTGAACTGGTAATAATAGTTGAGACACGAGACTTCGCTGCTAGCTCCCATAAATTTCTAATCATTCATTTTTCTTCGAACTTGTTATTACTGCAGATTCTTGTTTCTAAGCATATTTTCACTTGCAAGATATAAGATATATCAATCACCCATGAAAACTGCGCAAGTCACTCTTACCATTTGTGTAATCGCTTGAAAAGACCTTTGCTATATGGGTCGCTGTGAACAAAACGAAAATGTAGTAGATTAGGGGGAGCGCAGTAGTGAAAATGAGGTTATGTGGGAGAAAATAGTGAAAAGAAGTACAGTATATTGTAAATAATTGTAACATTTCTTATTTGTGAGCAAATATTGATGGATCGCGAACACTAAGGGTTTTGCATAGAATGAACATTTACAGATCGTCAACACTAGATGGGTTTTACATAAAATGAAAAATGAGCGTTTACACTCACTTTGACAACGCAGGACAGCAGCTTCGCACTCGGCCACACTCTCTTTCTCGTCGTTTTTCAACACCAGTGAAGCATTGGGTAGGTACATAGTTGATATTTCGTCCATAGGAAAACCTTGGCGTCGATTTCAATGCATTAGTATTGCATTGGTCCATCTGTATATAGGTCTAAGCGAATTCTTCCTCATTTAAATAAATAGACTAATTCCTTCTCAATGCATACTATTTGCTTTATAAACGAATGATAGAGTGAAATAAGTGGGTTTCCTTTTAAGCGAAAAAAGCGGTGAATAATATAGAAAATAAGAGACATATAGGAACTGGAACTAAAAGGGTGAAAATAGAAAAGCAATTAAAGAAAAACCTTTTATAATTTACTAACCTGTTCATTGGTGAATGGAACGGTATGTTTAACCAGACAATCAAGCAATAAATTATCCAGCTGTTCTTCCATTTTCTCCAGCTGAAATAAAACTTTGAACCTTTCAAGTAATTGATTTCATCTATGAAAAATACCATCATGTAGTCATTTCGCAATTTCTCGTGACAATTATTTTTGTCATGACTGTCTGGCAGCCAATACGGCCGAAGTAGCGAGTTTCCTGGAAATATAGAATGTTATTGAAAACAATTTGTTGATTTATTTTCTTGGACTCTAAATTTGCATACAAACCTAGGCAAAGTCGCTCTTCTAATAGTGCAACTGCTGAACATTGCACAAAAGCCTCACAGAATTTCAGGGATGCATCCTGGAACTACGATATTTACAAAAGTTGTGAATTTTACAAAAAGATTTTGAATTTGTAACGTACGACTAAATTCCTTTGAGAATTCACTACGACTACAGCGCTCAACAGCAGTAGCCAACGCATTGAAGGTTCAATTGCTCTTCGATGATGAGAGCTCCTAACCTCCAGCCAATCCTGGAACATATTATGGTGAGAATATAAAGTATTATAAGATCTGAGACTACATCCTGAGTCTGAGTCAAGGAGGTGGGCACAAGGCTATCAAGCGAAATACTGCCGATGTGATGAAAAAGCGAATTCGAAGATATTGAGAGCAAAGGAAGTAGAGACCTCCCGTATAATCCACCACCGTCAGTAAACGCTCGACGAGGGCGGGATCAGTGGTGACACTAACCGTGTCGAATTAAATCCTTGGTTGACAAGATTTTCGCAAAGGGTAGGGTAGGATCTTAAATTTACCGGCCATCCTCTTTGTTTGGTGATTTAAGAAATGACCACATTGCAGTGAATATGTTTGTAGAGGTTTTAATGCCCAAAAGATCAGATATTCAAGCAAATTCCTGAAACTGTAGTTAGACCCCTGCATCATGCGTCACTTAATTGCACTTTTTGGCAAGTACAACAATAAAATACGTGATTGCGCGCTGCTATCACTTGAATCCCCTTGTAGCGGGTTTTGAAAAACTGCATTGACAATTTATCAAGAAATCCGAGACGATTTTTACGCTGTTTCTGGTGAGTAATCAACTAGATCTGTTTCAATCAGTGGTTTTTTTCGCTATTTTTTCATTATCTTGCCCCTTTTAGAACCAGAGGATTTAGCAGTTGCTCCAATAAAAACACCTCTAGCTTGTAAAACAAATTAGTAATAGTTTACGAGACTAGGAAAAACGAACTTGGCTGCAAACCTAGCGCTTGGAAGTTACCAGTTTATCATCAGAATAAAATTTTGTGCAGTTTGGCCTAGCAGTAGGCTGGTAGATCGAAGCTGCTAATATAACTGTTTACTGCTATTTTCTTTCGCATTTTATTTTCGAAAAAAAAGACCCATTTCCAAAACCGGAGACATTTTGAGAAAGCAACTTTAATTCATCAACCTTGACCCAGCCGCGACTTATCGCTTAGTAAATTCACGTGCGCCTGACCTTTAAAATGGATCCTATTACACTATCGAATTGAGGAAAAGAAAATGATTTCTTTATGAAAACTTTATCAGCTTTTTCAAGATATTTGGTCTCTGGGGAACGTGAATGATGATAGTATGGTTTTATGAAAGAAGAAAACTTGACGGTTAGCTCAGCGTGCATACATCTCGCTATTACGATCATTCTAATAAGTGGCTTAGAGAATGTAACGAAAAAAAGTTGTTTCTATTACATTACAATTGTAGACAACTCGTAATGCAATAGCGTACAAGTGGAACAAATGAAGAGATCCGTTTTTGAAGAGAAAAGCACTACCAGATAGCTTACATATTTGTGAACAAAGGGTTTTCTTCAGCGGATGATGATGAATGAATCCAATTTCAAATAAGAGACAGGAATGAGCAACTAGATTTTATTTTTACAAACCGTTCTACTAAGTTCTTTCTTTTACATACAGAACAAAATCGCTTGGGTCTTCAGTTTCGTCTAAAAGGTGGTCCATCTCAAACTTGACAAATTTGATCACAACACACTACAACGTGGGTATTCTCATTGAATTCTTGCCTTCGAGGCTGAGGAAACGAGGATTTTAGAGGGAGTGTGAAATTTTTGGGTTTTCCAAAAGTTTCCCTGTAGAAATTTTTTCCCATAATGCTAC